CCCTCTGAGCCGGAAAGATCTGCGTACTGTGTATCTCCCCTCCCCTCCCCCCTGGACACTACTTCCTCATACGAGTTCCATGTGAAGAGTGAAAGTGAAAACAAATTGTATGGAATTGATTGGAAAAACGATTGCTGAATGAGAACGGATTGTGGATGTAAAGCTCTTTGCAGCTGCAGCTCGCTGACAAATGAGTCTTTTTGCTTAATCCAGTTCGCAGAAACACTCATTGAGCTACCGGGATAGACTGAGGCAATTTCTAGCCACAGTAAGCTACCGAAAACTAGATGAGCTAGGAGGATGCTGTTTGGAATGCTATGTTTCCGAACAGCCTTCGAAGCCTGCGAAAAAAAATTCACAAGCCTTAGAGGAAGTTTCAGAACTCTGTTCCGTAGTTGAAGCCTTTTGTGGTTTATTCAAGCCAAGTGGGGGCAGTTCGGTGCAAGATGTAAAAAACGATCGCTATGCAGGGGAATAAAGGTTATACTCCAATTTCAGGAGGCAGTAGCTTCGAGTTGTAAATGAAGATACTCTTATGTGAAACTATCGCGCTTTTAAGTGTTTTTACTGCTCTACACCAAAATTTTAATGAATATTGGTGGTGGAGGGAGTGGGTATTTTGTTCAAGGAAGAGCATCCAAGGGGTTCTTGTGCAGGTTGGGGTCACTATAATAGAGATGAGAATTTTGCTTGAGTCGAAGGTGCTCCGCAGTAAGTGGACCAGTATCAAGACTGTTTTGCACTATGAATCATTCGTTCCCCCATCCTCAAGGCGGACTTGTTCGTGACTTAGTTCACTAAATGTCACAACTTTCATACTGTTCTGATGCAACGAGACATTTTTGTGATTTGCTTGTGAGATTTTTCAGTTTTTTTTTCAAAATTATCCTCTTCACAGTAGAGAGGTGTTTTTACGAATCCGTTGATGCTTTAGCTGCACCTTTTTCAGCAAGTGACGCCAATGCCCTTGCCGCCGACGTCGACGCCAAACGTATCGGCGGCCACGTTAGAACCTCCAATGCTGACGTTTCGTATTCGGTTACATCCTCAGGGCAATAAGGAGTCCAATAAGGATTTTAGTTTTTTTCAAGTATGTTTTTGTTTTGCCTTTTCTTTAATCGTTTTCTGAACGTTATTTGCTCATGTTCGCTATTCACTTTTATTTGTTTTTGAAATTACTCCTATAAGTAGGTCAATGGGTATTCTGTTCCGCTCTAGCTTCGGCACCGTTCACACCTCCCGCTCCGCTGTTCGAATTTAGTTCGGATTTTGATTGTCATTGTTCTTATGATGGAGATTTTGCTAATGTTATCCCCGGGATGTGATATTTATGTTAAGGGAGTTGTACCCACCTCCCCCTCCCCCTTAACATGAACACGTATCACATCTGCCTGGCTCTTAAACGTCCGGTCCGTGTGCCATCGGTGCCATTGCTACAGGCTAGCTTTGGAATCGAAGCCCGTGGCGCTTAGGAGAGAAACTGCACCCGAGGACGAAACGCTCTTCAAAATTAATTCAGGGAAGAGTTTCGACCTGATTTTCTGCCTGAATTTCGAAAGTCGTGGAGTGGAAGCGCCGTTGTTGCGACATCTATTTTCTTGTTTGTTTTGGTGTGTTCGGGGGGATTGGTGAAGGATACGCAACGGTGGTATCGTCTTGTATAATACTGGCGCTAATGGGGAGGGGCATTTAAGAGGTCTTTCTGTGCAGGACCTAGCTTACCGTCAGCCGAATGGATTACCGTTATTCAGAATGGTTAAACCATCATGGAGCTCCTTCCCTTTTAGGTCTAGGGACAAGCCTGCTTCTTCACCGTAGTAGTTCTGTTTCTGCAGAGATATGCCTCTAATTGCGTCCTTGGTTGCCATGTCCTTTCTGAAATCACGGACTATTCCTGGGAAATGTCCTTGAAAACGCTAGCGTTCTGCACGAAATTTTAATTTCAGAAAAACGGCGTATACAGTCACAGTGCTTATAACACAAGCTAATAAACCTAGGTAACTAAACCGGCCTAGCCCTATTGTGTGCATTCATGGAGACAGCACATTTAATATCACGCAGTTTTCAAGGGTACTGTACAACGACTCTTTCCTGAACTTATAATCTTGTGCGTAGTGTTAGAGCTTCTCTGATAATGTGCTGTGATCAATTGATTGATTGTTTTTTTACTTTGTGATTGTAAGAATATGCATAGATTTTTCGATTTTTCAAGAATTCCTTGATACTATCCTTTGCTTCTTCGTTGTAGTCTAGCCGGTGCAGTTTTCTTAGAACATGTGAGAAACGTGTTCTTCGGCTAACGAGGCACAATCACGTACAATCTGTTGTTTTTTGGTGATTAGGCACGCTTGATAGCGTACGTACCCTTCCTTAGCGCTCTTGTTTTTCATCAAGTGCAATCTCATTAAAAACATTCGACGACAGCACTCATAGGAAACAATCGTCGTTCAGGGCAATTGTAGACGTAAGAGTACAAGGGCTTGAAGAGGGACTTCAGGGTTGCATTCTATGCTCAGACTATCTCACTGGTTCCTTTCACATGTGTGTTGATTTCTTCGCGCGTCTAATCGATATCACTTTTCGGCACTATTTACCGATTACTGTCCCAACCATCCAGAATTGAGGAACGGATTTGGCTCAAATATTGTCTCCTGGGGTAGTTTTACCTCCTGAATAGGAATATGACATTCGCTCAGTCCGAAACTTCCTGACGCCTGCAATCTGGGGTATTTTGGCGCCGGCGGCGTGGGCGCCAGGAGGTTTCGGGTCGAGCGGATGTGATATTCGTGTTCAGGAGGTCAGACTACCCCTGAGAACAAGTTTTCAGCGAATTTGGTGATTTGGGTATTTTGGCGCGGGCGCCATGAGGTTTCGTGCCGAGCGGATGTTTAATGTTCAGGAGGTCGGACTACCTCAGGAGACAAATTTTCAGCCAATTCTGCCGACGCAGAAAAAACTTGGTCAGAAACCGGCCTGATTTTGGAAGATTGGGGCAGTAAAGGATAAATAGTGCCCGCTTTTCTATAATTTCCGCTCACGAGCTGACCTTAGGGATGGAAGCAGTTGCGGCGTCAGACTGCGTTCAGACTTTGCGAAGAGGGAATTTGAGAATCGACAATATGAAATTTCAGGAGAATGCGTCAAAAGAAAGTATTGTTATCTATCTGGTGCCCTGAGAGCATAGGAGAGTAGGAGATCGCAGCTCGACGCTCATCCTCGTAAAACGTCGAATCGCCAGCTTTTCTATTTTCGGAGGTCGGCGAATCGATGCCTATGCTTTCCTTTGGCGTGCAAAAATATCTATTCATCGATTCTCCTGTTCTCCCGTCGCTAAGTGTAAACGCGGCCTTAAAGACATATTTCGCTATCACCTCAGACCAAAAAACGTACCTGCTTAAGGTGCGCAAATCTGCAGTCGCAGAGGATGTGCCAATTCTGCCGCCGGAAATCGCTCGTTAAGAACAGCACGGGCTTGTGACGGATCTGAGACTCCGCCCCACTGTCCGTATCTGCCTACTTGCTCCCCAGGAAATGTCAGCATAAAGGAAGGAAAGTTCCTCAAGAGATCTGAGGGGATGAACCGATGTGGCTGCTATATCAAATCGCTGGTTCAAATCCAGAAATTCTGAAATCTCGTCCAATCGTTATCGCGCACTTCCTGAAAATTGGACATTGGGGTTACTGGGGGACGTTCTCGACGTTTGCTACTTTTCTGTCACTTGTGGGTCTTCTAGTGCATACGCATTCATATTTTGACCCCTCTTACTACCTCTATACATCACATAATGTGCCCTTAAAAGCAATGAGCAGGATTGCTGGAGGCGGGCGATTGTTGCCGGTGTCACTAGTGGAAGGGCTGAGAGGTTGCGTTTATATACACCCTAGTCACCCCTCCCACCATTGACGTTGAAGACAATCCCCAGAAATCGTACCTACAGCCTTTGAGGCTTCTACGGGTTCACTGGCGACTGTGTAAAGCAGGAAACGTGCCTAGGGTTTTACAGACCGTGAAGAAGTTCAAATGGATTGAAAGAGCTCATCCTTACATCACTTTCACGGTCGT